AGTGTAGTGGTTAACACGCTCTGTATGTGTCTGTGTGTGTATGTGTCTGTGTGTGTGTCTGTGTGTGTATGTGTCTGTGTGTGTGTCTGTGTGCGTGTGTGTGGAAGCGTAACGCATTGTAGTGTAGTGGTTAGCGCGCTGTGTGTCTGTGTCTGTATGTGTCTGTGTGTCTGTCTGTCTGTGTGTGTGGAAGCGTAACGCATTGTAGTGTAGTGGTTAGCACGCTCTGTATGTGTCTGTGTGTGTGTATGTGTCTGTGTGTGTGTCTGTCTGTGTGTGTGGAAGCGTAACGCATTGTAGTATAGTGGTTAGCACGCTCTGTATGTGTCTGTGTGTGTATGTGTGTATGTGTCTGTGTGTGTGTCTGTGTGTGTGTGGAAGCGTAACGCATTGTAGTGTAGTGGTTAGCGCGCTGCGCTACGAACCTCGCGACCCGAGTTCGATTCCCGCTCACGGCCAACACCAGTGACGATTATCTGAACCAGTCCCGGGCCTCCCCTAGGTCGACTCAGCCTCAAATGAGTACCTGGTGCGGTGTGTAAACATTGCCACTGGGGAGACAAAGGCGGCCGGGCGTGGTGGATCCAAGTTCCCGGGCGAAGCCGGGTAGTACAGCTCGTGTATATTATATAGTTTAACACACAGTGAGGTCCCTTCGCCCGCGGTTTCTCCAGCGTTGGTTCAAGCAGAACTGACTCCTGCTGATGAGATGCTGCAATGTCGAGACCGGTCCCCAGTGTGTGCGTGTAGTGAACCAATGCTGCTGATAAGATGGGCTCCCAGATGGTCGTGTGGCGGAAGGGTTGTGTAATAAGTATATAGATTTAAATTGTTTATGCGGGGGACGGTGTAAAGGAGGCATATCGTTTACTTTGTGTTTTATTTGCTTTTTATTGAAAGCAAACAATTTCTGACAATTCGTTGACATGTGTCGGTGGCTCAGTCGAAACAATCCGTGAGTGAAGGCTCAAACACAAACTTAATGTGCATTGTTAAGGAAACTGGAAAGTATTATTTATCCGTCAACTGGTATAAATGCCCAAAACTCAGTAACAACTGTGCCAGCCCATCCCGTGTAGGTGGAGGAGACCAGATTTGGTATCAAAAAGATTATCCCTCCTCTTCGCAGGGTGGTAGATTGATCTGGACGACTGGCGGAAACGTGTTTAACTAGACTTTCATGCAGGTTCTCAAAGAAACTGCAGGGAACTACTGCTGCTTAGCACAAACATGGTATTTTATAGCAGTGGGACCTGCGTGGCGCTACTATGGAGAAAGTAAAGCCATCGTGGAGCTGCTTGTCGTCAATAACACCAAATCAAGTAAGATATTACGTGATGGAAACATTTGACATCATTTGGTTTTCACACCTGATGATGATTGCTTGTGTTGCAGTCGAAACGTCGTGAGAATTTTATTGTTTGATATTTTTATTATTTTATTGTTTCCCTTCTACGTGGTGACTTTACCGAAAGAACCAAGAATATTAGGACAGGAAGGTTCGAGAACGGGGGCTGAAGAATATAAAAGGGGAGAGCACCTGTAATGGGAGCAGTGATGCTGCGCTTTGGTCTGAAGGATAGCTGGCAGGTCAGGAGTAAGTTTGGTGGTTGAGATGCGAAGGACGTCACGGAGATGGATGTCGGTCGTTCTGGTTCTCAGTCTGCTTTTGTTCAGCGTTAACAGAGAGAATGTCTGCTCACATATGTATGTTGAGCCGAACAGACTCATCATTCGTTTTGCGTGGCGTCTCATCAGAGTAAACTTGGCCTTTTCCAAGCTCCGGTATAAGTCAGGTAGGGAGAGAAGCTAATTCTGATTCTTCAGAGAATCATCACACTGAATTTCGATCAGTTCTAATTGCAGACTCTCCTCCACTTCTTCTGCATCCATTGAAAACGAAGCTGCAAACAGTGTGATTTCCTTCTCAATGACAGAAAAATATTGGAAGCGCTGACTGAATTCTGTCATGAGAGATGTGATCACAGACACATTCTCCCATTTTTGCAGAGAGCTTGGCATTTGCAAATGCGCATTTGATTTCGGTCAGTGTGGGGAAGTGCGCTACATTGAAGTTGCGCAGTTGTGACTCGAAGAGACGGAGCTTCGCACGGAATGCTTTCATGTGCGCATACAGCTGTGGTACCAGCTGCTCTTTGCCTTGTAGTCTCTTGTTCAGGGTGTTGAGATGATCAGTGAGATCAACTAATAAAGCCAGGTCTGCCAACCATAAAGGGTCACTGATCTCATGGAGAGGTCTGCACTTTTCTTTCAATAACTTGTTGATATTTGATCTCAGGGAATAAAACCGCTGCAGCACGGAGCCGCGACTGAGCCAGCGCACTTTAGAATGGTAGAGTAGGTCCCTGTATTAAGCCCTCGTGCCCGAATTATTGACAGTTTTCACAACTGTGTTCATCACATCGCCAAGCTGGATTATCTTGACACAGAGGGCTTCTTGGTGGATGATACAGTGCATTTTGACAGCCTCACCTCCGCTCTCCCGCACCTTGGCACTCACCATAGAGGCCATTCCTTTGCGGTCGCCTGTCATTGCTGGAGCCCCATCCGTTGCAAATTCCACACAGCTTGTCCCATTTAAGTCCAGCCTGGTCAATTGCATCTGACACAGCTTCAAACATGTCCTTCCCAGTTGTTGTCCCCTTTAGACTCCGAAGATCAAGCAGTTCCTCCGTAATGCAAAAATTATCATCAACTCCCCGCAAAAAAATTAACAGCTGTGCAGTGTCCGTGGCATCTGTGCTCTCATCACATGCAATCGAGTAAAAATCGAAAGCACAAGCTTTATCAGACACTTGCTGTTTTAAGTTAGCCGACAAGTCTTCAATTCGCCGCAGAACCGTATTTCTGGACATAGTAACATCGTTGAAATCCTGCATTGTCTCTGGGCACATTATTCCCACGACTTCAGTGAGGCACTGTTTGATGAAGTCACCATCTGAGAAAGGTTTCTCGTGTAGGGCAATGAGTTGAGCTACTTCATAACTGGCTATTGTTACATTTTCTTGAGCTTTGTTAGCACGGGAAAAAACATGCTGCTGCGTTAGCAGGCTAGCTGCCATTTGCTTTACCTTCTTCCGCTCGGCGCCAGTGTAGGACGTGAAGGTCTGTTTCGTTTCATAATGCCGTCGTACATTGTACTCTTTCATCACGGTAACACTCTCATTACAAATCAAACAACACACACTTCACCTTGGTTTCTATGAAAAAATATTCATTTTTCCGCCGAGTCTGAAATTTTCTGCACTCGCTTGCAATCTTGCGTCTCTTCGGTTCCGACATTTCTCGTGACCCTGAGCAATTTTTTTCTTCGATTGCTTGCTTTATGGAGACGCTGCCTTGTTCAAGACAATAGCGCCACCTAGTTTTAAAACTGAGAAGTGCAATACAGTATGCCATAGTCCATTATATTTTTAGACTTTGATACGAGCCAATTAAAAATGGATGGCGGGCTGCAGTTGGCCCACGGGCCATAGTTTGGACACCCCTGGGATAGTGGGATGACGTCATGTGATGGGGATTGTAAGGGGGTACTTAAGGGGGATCCCGTGACGTAAAGGGAGCCCAGGCTGTGTAGCGGCTAAGAGAGGTCTCTCCCGCTCGTGATGGGACGGAGTTGGCTGAATCCCCGTCCTGAGTTCGACGAGTGGGAGAGACGTCGGGATAGCCGAGGATAAGGCTTGAGGAAGTCCGTGAGAGCTGGCTATGGAGAAGTGAGGTGCTGCCCTCACTCGGTCGGACGGAGTTGGCTGAACCCCTGTCCCGACTCGGGTGAGAGAGCCCAAGGGAATAGCCGAGGCTAGGGACAAGAGTAGAGCCGAGGTCCAAGGGAAGGGCCGAGTGTAGTGTGCACCTACCTCTGGTGTGAGTTAGTGTGTCAATAAAAGTGTTAATAAAGCGGCGTAAGCCCTTACAAGAAACTCCGAGTCCGCGTGGTTCTATACCTCAACATATGTATAACTTCTTTCGCACCACCATACGTAGCCAACCATGCTAATCGGAGGTGTGCGAGAAGGACAACTGAACACAAAAATAAGTTCTAAAGAAATTCGTTTTCAATCTAGATTTAGAAGTGCATAGCTCCAGTGTTTTCCTAATGTTGCAAGGAAGAGCGTTCCAGACGGGTCGCAGCAGCAGATCTTAAAGTGCGCGATGTAGGGGCCTATCTTTGTTCGATGGCTAGCCAAAAGTCGCTTTGAAGATGACCAGAGTTCGCGTAATGGTTTATGCTCCTTGAGATCAGCAAGCTGTCGTGGTTCGTTTGTGGTAAGGACTTTGTGTGTGTATATAACGAGTGCGCCCTTATAACGGGACATTAAACGTTCACTGAAGTGTTTTACAGTACAGTATGTGCATTGAGTGGTGGAAGTTTGCATTCTCACTACGCATTCAATGTAGCCTTAATATCACAAGTGAAAACTAGTCTCCATGAGCACGTATCATTACAGAGTATATGTGACGAGGTAAATCCCTGAGATCTTCTGTGCACGTTATACACTGAAACGTAACTTTTTTTTCAGATTTTTTTAGTAACCATTGTTGCATCAACACGCTCCACAAATGGGCAGTCCACTTCGGGGACATTTACACGAAGTTGGCGAATGTCGAAGAGCCAAGCAATGAGATCTCTCGTGTGTACGTCTGTTGTGCAGTAGAACCACGTGGAGACGAGGAACACTGTAAGGGCTGTTGCCGTTTATTAAACCACTTCCACACTCGGCATCCTACACTCACACCTGTGTAGGTGCGCTCTGTCTCGGTCCTTAACCCGGACACTTAGTAACTCTTCGGATCCTACCCTGGTTATCCCTTTGATTCCCTCACTCGTCTGCCCGGAGCGGGGTATGAGCCAACACCGCTCCACGACGAGGAGAGAGAGACCCTCTTCCAGCCGATCCTCGCCCTGGCCCCCCACGACGACCCCGCCCCCGTCTTGGGGCCCCCCCTTAAGACATCTTTGGCCAGCTCCTCCACCTACTTTTCGCAAGAGCCATCCGAAAGCCCTTACGTAACCCGTTCGCACCTCCTTCCGCTCGCCCCCTCATTGGATACCCACAATACTCCTCTACACGTCTATAACTTACAAACTCCAGTAGGACTCATAAGTTTCGACAAATGAAACCACTTCTCATTTCTGTGAAGACAGCTGCAGCAGAGTGCACGCATCCCGGTTAAAATGTCTCTTACAATGGTCATGTGTCTGCTCGTTTTGTACAAGACTTCAGGTAAACATGTTTTACACTTATTTGATAATTAAATATGTAACCGTGCAATGATTTGTGTTATTATTTTAATAATAATAAAAATAGACTTGTAAACATAATTCGTTAAAATTCACTACAATTTATAAGAATTTTCCAAATGTAATTAAAAGAAAGTTTGACCGGATATTTATTTAGTTTCAAGCCCGTCTATTCGAGTAATATACAGCAGTTATTTTAATGTTAGAGGTAAGTTTATGGAAAATTAAAAAGCTAATCTGCATTTACGCACTCTTTTAATGGCTTGTACTAAGTTATGTTTCCATTTCTTATAAGTGCATGCCAGAAAATATAATAGAGTAATTTTAACAATCTGCCTGCTTTATACAGACGCTCTACATGACGGAATTTTACGCAACCCACAGCCACAAGTGATTCTGGGAGCTCATGTTATCAGCCACAATGGGTATTTTGTGTTATGCATTATATAGTTTAACACACAGTGAGGTTCCTTCGCCCGTGGACATCTGGCGGTTTCTCCAGCGTTGGTTCAAGCAGAACTGACTCCTGCTGATGAGATGCTGCAATGTCGAGACCGGTCCCCAGTGTGTGCGTGTAGTGAACCAATGCTGCTGAAAGGATGGGCTCCCAGATAGTCGTGTGGCGGATGGGTTGTGTAATAAGTATATATATTTTATTGTTTTTGCGGGGGACGGTGTAAAGGAGGCATATCGTCTGAATTTAAACATTGTTGTGTAGGTTTTACTTTGTGTTTTATTTGCTTTTTATTGAAAGCAAACAATTTCTTTTCACAGGTCTGACAAATGGTTTACATGTGTCGGTGGCTCAGTCGAAACTATCCGTGAGTGAAGGCTCAAACACAACCTTAATGTGCATTGTTAAGGAAACTGGAAATTATTATTTAGCCGTCAACTGGTATAAATGCCCAAAACTCAGTAACAACTGTGCCAGCCCATCCCGTGTAGGTGGACGAGACCAGATTTGGTATCAAAAAGATTATCCCTCCTTTTTACAGGGTGGTAGATTGATCTGGACGACTGGCAGAAACGTGTTTAACTTGACTTTCATGCAGGTTCTCAAAGAAACTGCAGGGAACTACTGCTGCTTAGCACAAACATGGTATTTTATAGCAGTGGGACCTGCGTGGCGCTACTATGGAGAAAGCAAAGCCATCGTGGAGCTGATTATCATCAATAACACCAAATCAAGTAAGATTACGTGATGGAAACATTTGACATCAGAGTTTACATTCCTGTATAGGCGAAAATATATTATTCAAATGAACGTCGCTACCAATGTACACTCACGTAGCTCTGTTGGGAAAAAAACCCCATCGTGTTGCTTCTTTTTATTGTGTTGCTGCTACTTCCACTTGATGCAGAAGTCAACGATTGTTGACCTATGGAGACACTCGCCTCTGCTCAGGGCTGTCAGAGAGATAAGCAGGAAATCACGTTGATGGTTTTGTAGTTGCTAAGTTTGATGCACTTAAACCTGTTTATAGTGTAGAAAATGTTGCCTGTGCTCGATTGTAACGTACGTTTGGATATACAAGAGACACCGCTGTGGGGACATGTTCAATTCAAATTCGTGTGTGTTTCTCCCCCCACCCACCACAGCCCATGGATCTTCCACCCCAGGTAATAAGGCCACATGTGTTTTTGAGCCTGAACAACACAGATCTGAACTTACAGTTCATGTTCTAGCTCTCTCTCAAAGATAATCCAATAAGAATTACACTTTCTTGTAAAGTTGTGTTGATATTAAGGAGTGGCTTTATTCAAAATCGGTCAAATTGATCAAAGAGTTGCATAAAACCTGGACACAACACAGAGCAACAGCGACTATTTGTAAATATGCTATTTTTACCGCATTTTTATTAAAGTATGTTCACCATTCGGGTAATTTTATACAATCTTAGCTTATGCTTGGGTGTTCCTGTCTGCACAGCTCAACAGAAATCCCTTTATTGATGATGGCTGTGTAATTGAATTAGCAGCACAACTCGTCAATTTTATTTTTTGCTTAAAAAACGTCGCGTCTTTTTGGCACAAATATTCAAGAAAATCTATTCCACCCAAAGCACACTCAAGCTATGGAAGTATTAACACTGAACCATGGAAAACACGGTTCACTGCTGTGCCATTCTGCATTAATTTAATGGAAACTGGGCATAATGCGTGCAAACAACATGACTGTGATACTTTATTTTACTGTATGCGTAGCATATATAATTTTACGATCGCTTTCTCCACAAGTGTAGACAAATTAGATGAATACATCTTTATCCACTGTATTCTGAAATAAATTTTCAATGTGTTTTTCCAAATGTTATGAAGTGGAGATAATTATTTAAAAGCCACTCCGCTATCCAAAGTGGGATTCAAATGGAACGGATTCTTTTACCAATTCTATGGGGGTTGAAATAGCTTTGTATTCTCTGAACTTATACTGGGTTTTAACTGTAATATCTAATTTCCTTGTGTCTCATCCCCATCATGCATTCATCTTTAATTACACTTACAACCTCTGGACTTTAAGATGAAGACTTTTCATACGACACAAAATGTGAGTCCATAAACTGCAAGCACTCTCATTCTCTATAAATGTAATATATTGTATGAGGTAAACGTTACATTAGTTCTTGACTTAAAGCTTTCGTGACTGCAGGAATTCATATGCTTTGGGTCTTTCAGTAAAGTCACGTAGATAGGTTCAAAGAAAATTTAAAAAATCTAATAGATAATAAACTACGACGTTTCGATCGCAATACAAGCATTCGTCATCAGGAAGATGATGACACTTGTGTTGCGATCGAAACGTCGTAGTTTTAAAATATTTTTTGTTATTTTCTTTGAACCTATCTACGTGACTTTACCGAAACACCCAAAGAATACGTTACATTAGTGTTTCCAAATATCTTGTTGGAGGTCATGTATGATTATAAGGACACACTTTTTCTGCAAAATCTCTCTTCTGACAGGTATGGGGTGATATGGGAGGATTCGCTAACTTTTTATGGTCAATATATTTTTAAAATAACACCCACATTTGGTCCGTGTCCAAGATGTATTATCTGGAGTAAGTAAGTCCCAGTATGCGTGAGGTAGCATGGTGGTTATCGCACTGCCCTATTACGCTGGCCACCCCAAGTTTGATAATGATCAAGCATGGCTAACATCAGTGGCGAGTGAAATCTGAACTCGCCCCGAGTACCCTCGCCCCCAACCAACCCATGCTGGTCGGTATCGTGAAATATGATCAAAGAAACTCCCATAACTGATAAGGTGAGGGGAAGCATTCATCCTCTAGTGCATTGACAAAGAGCTGTAAAGTACTCCAGTTCCCAGTATTGTATATTATATTGGAATGGAGAAATAGTGCAGATGGTTATTGCACTGCAGTATGAATCCGGAAGCCTGAATTTAATTCCCAGCCAAAGCTACTATGAGTAACGAGTGATATCTGAAGCAGTTCTGGGCTCCCCCCACCCATGTTCACCAACTGGCACTGACCAGCACGCTGAAATATGGTGAAAGAAAACATCTATGACGTCATGGCATAGGGAAACCTTCATCCAATAATGGATTGGCGAAGTGCTGAAGTGTATTTATTATGTACATTGATTGACTCTCCAAGTATATGTGTATTGTTCTTGCTCACAAATTACCTTATAAACAAAAACACACTGCTGTTGCTGGTGTAAGTGAAACATTTGTGCATTACTTAATAAAATACATTTCCCATATCGCAGCGATCATGATTTGTGTAGGAGTGGTGCTGCTGCTTCTGCTACTGATTGTCATCACCATTGTTGGATTCAAACTTTGGTTCTACAAGAAGCATCACCGTGGTGAGTGCCTGCATCCGGAGTCATGCCAGATTGGGTCTGTTAAACACAAGCCGCTAAAATACCCTAAAAAGAATTTGCCCTGCAACGCTAGTTACAGTGACTTCCCTATATGAACTCAACACAAACTACACTATACTGAGACACCAAGGTAGGGCAGGCACGGTCTGGATGGTCTGTACTGACTGAGGTTAATACTGCAAGAGGGGTTAGAAAAGGAAAGGTGGTGTCAATTAAATGTCAACTCATTCACACTTTGCAGGGCACATTGCCAAAATTTGGGAACATGTAAACAGCCTCTAAGCAGCCTGTGGGAAATCAGCTGAGATAAGCAGGAACACACCTCAAAATAGATAACATCCTAACCAGTATGTCAGTAATGAAATGTAGTTAATGCACCTAATACGGTAAAATATGTATGCTTCCAGAGATATGTGAATCACTGTACACACGACCATAAGTTTCAACCATGTCCTGAGAATTAAATTATTTTAAGTATATACTGTTTTTTTATATATGATATCTGATATCTCTATATATCATATATTAAAACAGTATATCAAACATGCATATCTGTGAATATATATAGATATATCATATATAAATCATATATAAAACATTCACAAATAGTGAATGTAAAGCAAATTCCTGTTTTCAGGATTACAAATGTAGTGGGTCCAAATGAGTCACAGACGTTGTTCCTTTTAAAGGCAACACATTTACTTGTAACACCGTAACACAAAGGGGTAACTGCCCCTTCACCAGACTACAGCGAGTTCATAGTTCATAGTTCCATTCATTTGGTATAGCCCTGTGAGCCATTCGACTCTTGAATCGGGTGCAACCGCAACAAACAAAAAACAAAAACATGAACAAGAAAACATCTTAAAGTGACTATGTGACTGTGCAAACAGAAAATCCAGGAAAAAACATCAAAATATTTCTGAAAAGCACCGTACACCAATGCTGTGTGCAAAAATCCCAGTGGGATGCAAGTCAAACAACAACAACAACAACCACAAGACAACTTAGATTAAGGCCATCAGTCTAACTCCGTACTACAATAAACAAAAACATGGCCAAACCAAAAAAACGTTTTCGAAATCACCAAAATAAAAGCCATAAATGCAATGTAACAGTGATCATCGGGACTGTGACCGAATTTTTAACAATAAACTACATAAATAACATGTAACAGTTACTGCTACGAAGGGTCGATCCCTCACTCGGGTCTCCGACCACGTGGTTGCCTCGTAGGATGGAGAGCTTCAGCTTGAGACGTAGAGCTTCCCGCTTGTAGATGTTGCGCTTCCTGCTTGTAGAATGCAGCGACCCTGGTCCCTCTCAGGGACCCACCTTATATCCCCCTACGGGCGGGGCCTCTCCGCCCTCGGCCCCGCCCGCCTTCTCGAGCATTCTCGTTCCCTCTCGATCCTTCTCAAGAGCTCTCTCCGGACACGTGATCACCCACTAGTCCCCCCACCTGGGGCCCCTTGTGTGGACATTCTGGATCACGTGTCTACGGGGTCAACCAGATTGCCATGGCCCGGGGCAACCCTGCCCCTGGGCTGACACTCACCCCCTTCCCCTCGGGGGAGCCCCCACCACTCGCTGTGTGTGGTGCCCGCACTATCCCAGTGCTCGCCAAGCCCCGCTAGGGCTGGTGTTACACACAGCCACCCACACGGTGCTGTCCACGATGTAGGAACATCGAACGGCACGACCCGGCACCATACAGTGACAACCGTGATGTCACTACACATTGAATGGATATTTTTTATCTGCTGTACTTCTTCAATTATGCTGGTTTGAATACCACGCTTCATGACAGTCAAACAAAATACATCCATCTTTGTAAAATCGTATCACGTGTTGTCTTGAAATGCACTCCAGACCCAAAATATCGTGGCCTCAATTACACATCTCAGAACTATTGCTAAATTGTTAAATACTGTACGTATCGTAAATGCTATACTTCCTCAGGGAACCATCACACTACCATTTTTAAAACAATGAGAATTAATTGTCGTGGCGAATATAGATTACAAAATAAGTAAGCAATGTTTCCATCGCATATCCATCCCTCCACGTAAAAATATATTAAGTATAGGTTCGATGAAGGATCGAGTGATGCGGCTTCCATGCGCCATGTTTGGTTGTGAGGGTTGTTTGATCATTCTTCACCATTCTGGTCAATATGGGTTGGTGATCTGAGGAGCCCAGGACCAGTTCGGATATCACTCACCACTGCTAATTTGGTTCCGGGTATCGGACTCGTGTCACTGGGTTCATTGATAGCGCAGTGCGCAAATCATGGTGCCACTTCTTGCTCCGTTAATATAATCGTTTCAGCGACGTTCTATCAACTGTTGGATGAATACCTCGCCTGTCTTAACCCCTCAATGCGGTTGCTTGATGGCACAAGTCCATGTTGCTCTCACACGACTCAAATTTGTAAATGACAGGAAAACCCATTCCAACAGAACCCTATCCGTATATGAGGCTCTCAGAGGTATATAGCAAGTGAATATTTATGACTATTGTACTGATGAGTCTAAATAAGAATGAAACCAGTCTAAAGTTGTGCCTCATGTCTTGTTACATTTGCAGACAAACAAGTCAGTAAACAAACAACTTGCCAGGTCAGTTGAATATAAATATATTGTAACATACATATTATGTCACACTGATGTTCATTTTTAGGCATTGGTTATTTTTTCACTAATCCTGGCTAATGTATATATATCTATGGCCTGTATATACAGTGTGTTTTATGAGATACAATGAGTCTATCCGCGAAGGCGAGATGTTACCTGCCTCGCATTTTCTGCAGGAGGTCGTGCGTTCGATCGTGACTCTGACGCCTGTATATTTGGAGTGTGCATGCTCTCCCCGTGGATTCTTCTCCGGGTTGTTCGGTTTTTCCTCCCACATTTAGAATCAACTTGCGTTTAGAGTATTTGGCTGCTCTAAATGTCCACACGATACGCCACTTCGTTGACCTATCATTTGTGGCCAGGTCGCTTATGAAAAAGACGTAGTTCAGTGGGCCTTACCTGGTAAAATAGTTTTGTTTCGTTTTATCTGTGCCCATTGAAGGTCGTATGCTTAAACTTAATACATGAAATTTGAATAACAAGCAGTATTTTGTTAACAATATTTTAATACGGCACTTAACTGAACCAATACTTGACTGGAATCCTGAAGACAAAATATATTGTAGGAAATATATTGTGCTGTATCAGCTAATATATTCATGCTTGAGCTGTGATTAAAAGTATGACAATTTATGCCAATTCCACACAAACTCATGTTCAGCACGTCAATTCTGCACCTATTTTAACTATTTTTAAACTATCTACAAAAATCTGTGATGGAGGCTCACATGCATATTGAAGTTGACAGTGATGGTATCAAGACAATATTGATGGTGATAAATTCAGATTATGATAATTATTGATAAATTAAAATGATGGTAATAACTAAGGGTGGCGATGATTGTTATTATTTAAATCGTACTTACAGGCTGACGAAGACAATCAAGATAACATCAACTATGCTGAGCTGGATATGCATGTTCTTGGAAGGTGCCAGAAAGCCCCGAAAGTAACAGTGAGCCAAGAGTCAAGTGGCTTGTATGCTCGAGTTTATGAGAAGCCACACACAGGCGCTCACTGTTAACAAAATTGAGGCATCTCGTCAGCTGCAGGATATGTGCCGTCTGGCAATTGTAGACTTTGCATGGCAAAAGGTGCACATCATGTATACGCAACTTTAATTTGCATAATTAACCAACCAATATTTCCACAATTGATCTCGACCTTAACATATGATTTCATATTGATACTCTGCGATGTACCACTGTCAACTTCTTTCCAAGTGATACTGGTAGGAACCGCTGGTTACACCAGCCCACAGGGGATTATTGTGTCCGTCCGTCCGTCGTGCATCCAAAAATGGGAGGGGTGGGGCTGGGTGGAGAGGGGAGGGTGGGGAGGGGCTGGGTGGGGAGGGAGGGGCTGGGTGGGGAGGGAGGGGCTGGATGGGGAGGGGAGGGTGGGGAGGGGCTGGGTGGGGGGTGGGAGGGGTGGGGCTGGGTGGGGAGGGTGGGGAGGGGCTGGGTGGGGAGGGTGGGGAGGGGCTGGGTGGGGAGGGTGGGGAGGGTAGGGAGGGGCTGGGTGGGGAGGGTGGGGAGGGGCTGGTGGGAGGGTTGGGGCTGGGTGGGGAGGGTGGGGAGGGGCTGGTGGGAAGGGGCTGGGTGGGGAGGGTGGGGCTGAAAGAGGGGTGGGGAGGGTGGGGCTGGGTGGGGGGTGGGAGGGATGGGGCTGGTCACCCCGTGGTGCCCTTATAAAACTCAACGTTTAACCTACTCACGCCGGCTTGTGCCCGCCCTCACAGTCAGGCATATTTGCGGAATACACCACGTGGTGCCGTTGACCCTGGCCATTGACCGAGCAACCCAACGTTCCTACCAGCTCCCTCCACAGGAATGTGTTTTTATTAACATTTTGAAGGCAGATATGTTGTCAAACCTAATTCTAACACGTCGGCATTATTTTTTACCTTTCTATCGCTACCTGATGTCATTGACGAATGTCCAGTTTGTTTTTTAGTTTACGTCATCCCAGCAATATTCCTTCCTGCCTGTCACCCTTCACTGAGAAGTCTACAACCAGAACCTGGAAAACCACACCTTGTGGAAAACTAGAAATCCTCATCGGGACTCAGAGAACTTCATTGAAAATTATACATAATGACTATTTATCGTTTAATGTGAAAACATCGGCTAGTCGTTTAAATTCTTACCTGATATGATGGCAATAACGATCGCAATTGCATCACATTCTCCTGCATGCTAAATGAAGAGTACATAAGATTAGTAAACACTGAAGCTGTTTTTTTAAATTGAGGAATAGCTGTGGAATGAGGCCGTGAATGAATAACAATTGCTTTATACAGCATCGTTCAATAAAATGTCGCATGTGGTGGCATCACCCAGCGGTAGCGTATTCACCGCTTGCTGCAAAGGTTTGTGGTTCAAATCCCATAGGCCGCCCAGGTCAATACTTATGGTGAATAAACCGCTGCTTCACTGTGGATGTAAAAGATCTCGTGACATCATTTGAAACCTTTTGGGCATTGTGTGCTGACGTCATGGACCAAATCTGCTCAATTTTATTTTTAAAAAGATTACCCACACGTTACTCAAATGTCTCAATTGGAATCACACGTAGCAATCATCGCCACCTACTAGCAGACTAATGCCCACTTGCAGGCCAGTGCTATGTCATCTCATGCCGCAGAGGGACAGCTGGCCTTTGAATTTATGAGATGTGATGTCAGTTGCTTTGAGTGAATGAAGCATATAATTTCCATATTGACAGTACATGCTTATATAATTATTGCACGTGCTCTCCAATGGCACAACCTGATGGTGTCATCAGCACTCGTTAGCTCCGTATTGGGTAGCATTCTTGCACTCCACACATCTGACGTCTGTATTGGAGCTGTACATCTGAGGGCTGCACACCACTGCAAGCAGAAGTAACAAGGATAACATTGATCCTGCACTCACAATACATGCATTAAATCGTGTTCACCTGAATAAATTTGCAATTAAATGGGAGTTTTCCATCGGTTATTTTACTCCATTTTTAACGACACCCCTGCATAGTTCCATGCTATAAAATTGTATTAAATCCAGTAAAGCACATGTCAGAGTCCAGAACACAGAGTGCACGACAATAATGCTCCACATCCCATCATATGTAGACCTACATTGTATACAGTGTCCTGTTGACTTGCAATCCTCAGCAACCATCACACCAGGTAAAAGTAAATACATTATGCAAGGGTTCTCTAAGCATCATACATTGCACATTGACCTTGTTTAATTTTATGAAACTAGCTGCTCGATTAACTAAAATAGCTGCATGACTTACATTCCAATGTGGCCTGTTATCTTTATTTCTATTGGACTCTCTCAGACAGCCATGGGAATATTGCTATTAATCACAATATGATGTCACGTCCTGATGTAAATACATGGCCAGAAAACACAAACCTGAATGTACACGCCGCACCATGCATGACTTACCGTCTTAACCAAATGAAAACAATATTGTATCCATTTCATCACTCTCTGAATGGGCTGTTTGGATTTTAATGCCTAGCTTAAGTATTTCTAATAAATCATTAACTTGCTTTTGTCAATGTCCTTATGTTTATCGCAAACCCGTTGTCTTCAAGTGCGTTAAGTCTGGGTACCATTTCCCATAGTACAATTGGTATTTAACATACCCTTTTTAAGTATTTTACATACGTCTTTTACTTGTTACTGTATGGGTCAGAGAGTTGGAATTTTACGAGGCAAAGAGAAAATAAACGTAAGGTCTTTTGAATACAGGTGCACGTTAAGGAAGATTGGAAATGTGTGGATATATAGGATACACAACCTGGCAGTTCGTAATATAACATGGCAAAACAACGTGTACGTGTAATTATAAAGCGGGGGCAACGAGTATGTGTACAATGGAAGAGAGAGAGAGAGGTTTCACGAGACAGATATTGGAGTGGGTACCCAGAGGATGGTGACAAAGAGGAAGACCAAAAAGCCAATTGGTGGGGACAGTGAGAGGATATTGAAGGTCACGTGTCGAGTTTCACCCACTGTGGTATCCATCAAAATAAGTTATGATGACACGGTGCGGTGGCATCAATTAGCATTGGCTATGATGACCTGTGGACTCTTGTTTTAGAACCTGTACGCACTATGATCCGAGTGAAGTGGTTGTTTTACACACAAGGTTGTGGTGCTGCTGGTGTGATTGTAGGACTGTTATGATGTGGAATCCCTTGAAATTAAATCAGGACTGTCACACTCTTGAGCAAACAATCGATCAACAGATAGACATCACAATAACATTCCAGACGAGGCCCGTTACCTCACGAACCCCAACCATGTTTAGAGACGTTTAGCAGTTCTCTGTGTCTCGCCAAAGCTTAATCAGAGGTTGGCATACCGTGCCAGACTGGGACCAACAAGTACATGTTAGCTTAGCAAAAAAAAAATTGACATGGCACTGGTATGGTAAATTGGATATAGACACGTTCTTTGATGTTATAGCTCGAGAGTATGACGCTGACATTTTTACCATCAGATACCGTCACTCAACCATTTTAATGAGATAAATAAGCATTCTGCTCCGCACCTACTGCATTCACGTCTTACCACAGCAGCTCGAACAATCGGGATGAATGATCTTGTCCTTCCCATAACCCGGCATGCAGTGTGCATCTTTAAACTTGTACAACGAGCCTCCAATGAGATATATGGATGGCAGAGTTTCCAGGAAGCGCACTATTCTCTCCTGCTTCTTGAAAAATGACTCGACAATATTACTAGCCTGGGATGCAAGAACAAACACATGCATGAATGTTAATTAGGTAATCCATTCGAAGTCTTTAGTGTAATCGATGTCTTCGATACCTAAGAGATGCATTGAGGCTTTTTTGGAGCTCGTTAATTGGGTGTGTGTATTGTTTCAAATGACGAAAGCGGTGTCAAATTTCTTCATACACTTAAGCAGCAATGGGAATTCAAATACGCAGGTTAAGCAGTATTACACGACTTTTTCAAGTATAAAATACAAACCTCTTTTTCTCTGAGGTTTAAGGAGACTTCACATTTCTTCATAGAAAGACCATCGCATGTCTTCAGCCAGTTTTTGCCATAAGGGTCAACTTGGGGAAAAGCACAAAGATCACAGCATGTTTCCAAGTTGCAAGGCCTCAATAATAAACAAACAAAACTCGTGTATTGGTGTAAGGTTCATGTGTCATATAAAAAGCAATGCTCTGTTAAAAGGCTACTACTATGTTTGTACATTTCTAGAACATTATTGTTAAAGAGATGTTCAATAAAATTATGTAAGACAGCCAAATTAATACGTTTAAAAACATTATAAAGAGTAGCTCAATGGGAAAACGTAGTCCCTAACTCTCTCGATAAATGTCCCTAACTCTCTTGAGTTAGGGACATTTATCGGCATAATTGCTCAATATCAGTGTGTCATAGGTACATAATGTAAGCAACTATGGCAGAAGCACAGCCACTGTGGGTGTCCCGTGGGCGTTCACACACCCTCACAACGTTTAGATATGGCCACGGGACACCCACAACATTGTGTACCCCTGGTCAGCGCACAAATGCATTCACGCAGTTAGCACACACATTCACGGTCAAATAGCATTAGCAAATGATGGATCACTCTGTATCTGTCCTCTAACCAATCGGAATCTGATCGCGGGTAGGACACCCAAAACGTCCAAGGTGTGGCTGTGGTGTCGAGTGTGCGAACCGACAAAGGAGATCTCCAGCAGGCACTGCCGGCCCACGTCGCGGTACACAATGGACCGACACTCGAGCATGGGCCGCACCACCTGGCAGTACAGCCGGCGAAGGAGGCCATTGAGCACCACCACCAGCTGGTCCAGCACCAGATTGTTGTTGTACCCTGTGCAGCTTGAGGCATAGTAATTCACCAGAAAGGTGTGCGCCGTCTCCACCTCGCGATACGCTGCAGTAGGTACAATGGCATGGGAGGGGGCCGCTTAAGCGTATATGTTGTACGATGCAAGTTGAGCTTCTTTCGCACCGTACGCAGCCAATTGTTTGGCCAATTACGTCTTATATGAGAGGAAATTGAAATGACTGGGGAAAACACATGCACACGAGGGAGAACACTCGAGACATACACAATTTGCTTGTCAGAAACCTACTTGTATTAATGTATGTCGAATTTCTTTCACATTGTACATAGCCAACCGTGCTCATCGGAGGTGCGGGGGGGTTAGGTGAACAAACTAAACACAAAGAGCACTTCTAAAGAAATTAGTTTTCAATCTAGATTTAAAAGTGCATAGCTCCAGCGGCTTCCTAATATCGTAAGGAAGAGCGTTCCAGACGGCAGCAGAAACGCATCTGAAAGCGCGCGATGCGGTGACCGTCTTTGTTCGATAGCTTGCCAAAAGCCACTGCGAGGATGCCCATGTTCATGTTTATGCAAAATTGTTTATTGCCGCAGAGAAGTTAGCTTGATTGGTCAGCATGTGGTAATCTTTCAGAAACTGAAAAGTAATTTCCGAATCACTCATCGTGATGTAAATTTAACATTGTGAGAGGATGTCTCTGTTTTTGTCCATCAGTGATCTTCCTTACTTTCGATCACAAAACAATAACGTACCGTAGACTATGAAGCTCAGTGAGACTCTCATAAGGGTGTGGTTTTCTTTCTCTTTGTAAGACAGCACGCACTGGTAAGGACCTGACATGTTGGGCAACATTCCATGCAGAATGAGCCAAGTGCCTTCATGTTTTTCTTTAGTATTTTCTCCTGTAAATGACATTGTACAATGAAATGGAAAAACACGGAAGAAAAAAGACCTGACAGAATTACAAAATTACGTACTAAATTTTGATTTAAAGCTTTCGTGACTGCAGTAATTCATATTCTTAGCTCTTTCGGTAAAGTCACATTGAAGGGAAACAATAAAATATGTATAAAACAATACAAATTCTCACGACGTTTCGACCATAACACAAACGGTCGTTATCAGGTGTGAAAAAAACCAACGGCAAGAAACATTTGCAAGAAGTGTCGGTTTGTATTTATTTATTTACAAACGGTGTATTTATTTATAAAAAAAACGTCAGCGCCACGCGCAGCGATTTGGCAGTTTGTTTAGAAGGACTAGTCCATCTATGTTCTGAGAAGAGGAGGGGGGAGACGAAAAATTAATGTATGCTGTCTGAAAGCCACCGTAAGCGTGAACAATCAATTAAGACCTGAAATGGTTTATCAAATCCTTCCAATGATTGCTAAGCCAGAATCCATCTTCTCGGTTGAAATTGCCTCTGTGCTTGTATATGTGGATAGCCTCATGAACGAATCTCTCATGGTAGCCAGATGGCTTACAAAGAACCTCTGTTTTGGAAAAGTCAATGTCATGTGAGCCTACTGAATTATAACAATGAACTGCCACGGCCGAGGTGTTGGTCCTACCATGTTTAAGGTCTGCTTTGTGTTCACGAATGCGGTCCGAGACATGGCGTTTGGTTTCTCCAATGTAACTACTACCACAGAGGCAACTTAGTTTGTAGACACCAGGGTACTCTATGTCCGGAATCACATCTTTTACAGACGGAACCAGATCACGGATATTATGTAATGTGTTGAAACGGACCTGGATCTTGTGTTTATTCAAGATTTTGGAGATCTTTTTTGTGATCCCTGCATTGTATGGTAAAGTGATGGTTTTGAAAGGCTCCTCAAGAGGGTCCTTCTTCATGGTTTGAGTGATAGCTTTGCGGATTGTATAGTCGGAGTAACCAATAGCCTTAAGACCTTGGTGTACGTGCTTGAGTTCACTGCCTATGTGTTCCTGGTCGGATATGCATTGGGCTCTATGGTACAGAGTCTTGATGAGGGAATTCTTCTGTGATGGATGGTGGTGGGAATCCGGTTTCAGATAAGCATCCGTATGGGTAGCTTTCCTGTAGACAGAGTGGCTCATTTAACCATCAGGTCTCTTTTTTATTAGGACATCCAAAAAAGGTAGCTTGCCATCGTTTTCGACTTCCATGGTAAATCTGATGGCTGGGTGTATGGAATTGATGTGGTCGAAGAATTGGTCTAGAGCAGGCCGGCCATGTGGCCAGATGACAAAAGTGTCATCCACGTACCTTTTCCATAAGGTTGGGCGCAGAGTGGCAGTCTGGATGGCGTCAGTCTCAAATGTCTCCATGAAAATGTTAGCTATAACCGGAGATAGGGGGGAGCCCATTGGGGTGCCCTCAGTTTGTTTGTAGAAAGTTCCATTCCAAGTGAAGTATGTATTGGTTAAACAGTGTCTCACCAGGGGGGGTACCTCAGTGTTTAGTCCTTGATGAACCAAGTCTTCAATGATTGCGATGGTGTCAGGTATAGGAACCTTGGTGAATAAGGAAACTACATCAAAACTGACAAGCAGGTCGTCTGGGGACAGGGAAATACTCTTGATTGTCGATACCAGGTGAGTAGAATTTTGTACCGCAGAGGTGGTTTTTCCAGTGAAAGGACGCAGTATTTCAGACAAAAAACGAGCCAGTTTGTAGGTGGGGGAGTTGATAGTATAAGATGGCAAGCTGCCTTTTTTGGATGTCCTAATAAAAAAGAGACCTGATGGTTCAATGAGCCACTCTGTCTACAGGAAAGCTACCCATACGGATGCTTATCTGAAACCGGATTCCCACCACCATCCATCACAGAAGAATTCTCTCATCAAGACTCTGTACCATAGAGCCCAATGCATATCCGACCAGGAACACATAGGCAGTGAACTCAAGCACGTACACCAAGCTCTTAAGGTTAATGGTTACTCCGACTAAACAATCCGCAAAGCTATCACTCAAACCATGAAGAAGGACCCTCTTGAGGAGCCTTTCAAAACCATCACTTTACCATACATTGCAGGGATCACAAAAAAGATCTCCAAAATCTTGAATGAACACAAGATCCAGGTCCGTTTCAACACATTACATAAAATCCGTGATCTGGTTCCATCTGTAAAATATGTGATTCCAGACATACAGTACCCTGGTGTCAACAAACTAAGTTGCCTCTGTGGTAGTAGTTACATTGGAGAAACCAAACGCCATGTCTCGGACCGCATTCGTGAACACAAAGCAGACCTTAAACACGGTAGGACCAACACCTCGGCCGTGGAAGATCATTGCTATAATTCAGTAGGCTCACATGACATTGACTTTTCCAAGACAGAGGTTCTTTGCAAGCCATCTGGCTACCATGAGAGATTCGTTCATGAGGCTATCCACATATACAAACACAGAGACAATTTCAACCGAGATGGATTCTGGCTTAGCAATCATTGGAATGATTTGATAAACCATTTCAGGTCTTAATTGATTGTTCATGCTTATGGTGGCTTTCAGACAGCATACATTAATTTTTCGTCTCCCCCCTCCTCTTCTCAGAACATAGATGGACTCGTCCTTCTAAATAAACTGCCAAATCGCTGCGCGTGGCGCTGACGTTTTTTATAAGGAAATACACCGCTTAAAATAAATAAATTAATGCAAACCGACACTTCTTTCAAATGTTTCTTGCCGTTGGTTTTTTCACACCTGATGACGACCGTTTGTGTTATGGATCGAAACGTCGTGAGCATTTTTATTGTTTTATACATATTTTATTATTTTATTGTTTCCCTTCAACGTGACTTTACCGAAAGAGCTAAGAATATAAAAATGACGTACTATGATGCTTAAAAATAAATACTGTCATAGTTGAATGAACGTGGATATCAAAACGTTATTTTCCATTCGTAATTTGTTAGGTAACAGTGTGCTAGAGAAAAGTGGTGGAAAAAATTGGTGTGACTTATGGGAAGCTTAAGTGCAGTTCAACAAAGACGCAGATATATATATTTTTACATTTAAATATCACTTATTTGAAACGCACACGTGTGAACATGGTGTATACTGCCGTGGAAAACAGCTGGAAAGACCTGGAACGAGAGGTCCATTTGGGCCACCCCACGTCACATGGAGCTCTTCATAATGATGCTCCTGCTGCTCTTCCCGAAGGCAGTGGATGAGCGGGCTTCTTCCATGCACACGCACATACACATTCACTTTGGGAAGGTGGACGTTCAATAAATGGTTAATATTGGCTCATTTTGACCAAGACTTCATGTCCATCACACGTTATATCAAATGAGCTTCATTTGTATAAGTAGTGCAGCATATACCAAGATTATTAATCTACTGAGACTCCAACAGTGTTATGCAAATAAACATAAATATTCATTTTTTGTGTTCACAAGGACTCATTTCAATCTCGTGTCATGTTATAATTTTGATGGAGAGTCATTTGAGCGGCCATATTAATTAGAATAATTTTTGTATTATTTGGATGGATGACCAGCACTCACACAGGTTGTCATCGGGATTTGTGGCCTGCGCTTTGTTGTCAGTAGCCGAGAGCAGTGGATCAAAAAATCCGTAGTTGTGCTGTATTTCAATGCTCCCACCTCTAATTATCGATTCTCCCCACCTTCACCAACACACTTACCCGCTTAATGAAGTATGGTAAACCCCTACCAGCCGTATTGCATGGGAAGACCCTCATCCAGTGGTGGATAGACATTTCTATATATTCAAATTCATGAAAGGCATCAATTTACTCCTATGAGAGGTGATATTTATATCAGTAACTTTAATTAAACAAGCAGAATTTACCCAAGTCCAATTTTCATACGCAGCAATGTGGACTATAAATGCATGGTGTTGATAACTTGACTACATGGATGTAGACGTTTTTTTCAGAAGCAATCTATGTAAATGTGTGTTAATGTGTTGCTGTACTGCCAATAAAATACCCCACACAACTTAAAAAATGTCACATACCAATGTCTACACACATGTCCCATGATGGTGTGATTTTAGTAAGTGCTGAGCTTAATGTTTACCTTTCAGCAATAAGGTTGAGACTCTGTATTAACCTCTTCCCTACTGATCCACTACAGTACCCATTTTACCTGATTTGTGTTCTCTCCCATAGATGGACTTGTTTCCTACACTCAGAGGGCCGGCTTGTATTTGGGGCTCGGCTAGCTGTCCATTGTCTGTGTATACGCGACAAAAAAAATCACAGGCCCGCTTCTTAATGCAACGCAAATCCACATTACGTGGCAGTAAAAGTTAAAGCAGCACAAATATTCTTGTACTGATTTTAATGAGAATCATCTCTGTTAAAATGCTAATTGGAAACCAACGTGTGTGACTGTCCATTACAGCATTATGAGGAGAATATAATTTTTAAAACATCTTCAAATTAAATAATGCCCTTTATCTATCCAGATAAACGTTACGAAGTCGTAAGAAGGTTTGGCAACATCTATTATTGGGTGTTTGTGGGACATTTTCAGGGCAGTTTTTAATATGAACACCCTGATAGTAAAAATTATTTACTCAACTCCTAAGATCCTACATTTTCATCTTCACTGCAGAGAGGCACATGTAAAAGATATTTGTTGGTTTACACAGATGCATGTGCTTGCATGTTGGTATGCAGAATATACCTAAGTGAAGGTTTATACCTTGAGTTTGGAAATCACGTTGGTAAGCAAATGTATTTTACGCATTTACTGTGTTGTCATAACTTTATGCCAAATGTACTCAATTTTCAAGTACATAAAAATCACTCAGCTAAGCATGGTTTAGTTATTGGGGTTTTGAACCATAAACTACGGGAAGTTTATATTCAATCTTGATTTGAAGCTTTCGTGACTGCAGGAATCCTTACTCTTTGGTTCTTTCGGTAAAGTCACGTAGATAGAAAATGAATAGATCACGACGTTTCGATCGCAACACAAGCAACCGTCATCAGGTGAGACAAACACAGCAGGAGAACTGCTGACGCAGGAAAAAATATAATAAAAATTAAGTGAATAAAAAACCCCACGGCGTTTAGATCGCAACACAAGCGGTCGTCATCAGGAAAAGGGGGGTTTAGCCTCTACGGGAAGTTTTACAATATTATTTAGAACATTAGTGATGACGTCCATTAAAATGCTGAACGATAATTTACAGTCATTTGTAAAACTATTGCTGGATGAAGTCCTTCCGGCAATCATGCCAGGAGTCGAACTCAGCTCATCAGCTTTCACCTCTGCACCACCACCTACTATGAAATATAACCTACCAATATTAAAATATCTGAGCAATACATAACGGTAAGGCATTAAAGCAACTTAATTATATGTACTGTATATCAACCAATAATCATATTTAGTTAAATACTGGCTTGATTTATAAGGAATAATTGCACTTTTAGACAACGTGCAAATACAAATTTAAGACCGGGATCCTTGTATTGTTGAATCCCAAGACACTTAGAAAGGGACACACCCTCTTTGTTAGCGTTAATACAGCAGTTATTTTACAACGTTAGTATAAATCATGCAATTGCACAAGACAGGTTCCCCTTACAGTCCCATGTGTGTGTGTTTTTGGAGCCAAGGCATACAGACTTGTGTTCTGAATGTTGATTAAACGACCTTGATCCCGTCATTAATATCCTGTATGGTTTATCATGAAGTGAACTAGACTTGACAGGACCTACACCCGTTAACGGTTAAAAGCACACGTTAATAAAAGCCACAAAAAATATCAGGAGAGTAATTAGATATATATGACGCAATTATTATGCATTTGAATATCATGCATGATCGTGTTATCACAATAATGCAAATATTATATTTTTTAAAGTAAAACATGTTAAATAACATACGTTATTTGGGTGACATTTGCAGAAGACATCACAATGTTACAATAAGGAAACAACGATACCGTGTGAAAATGTGATTATCTGCAGTGCAGTGCGTGATTATTTGCCTGCAGCTGTCAACAGCTCTGCGCCCGTGGCCACTGCAAACAGCAGCAGAACCATGAGCCCTGGGGCCCTTGGGGTCCGGGTTGGCGCATCCAGGGTGTGCTGGGCCCCCATGGTGCCGGTCTAAACGAGTCCCCAACCGACTCGGGCACGAGGCTCACGGACACGAGAATGAAGAGGGGATGTAGGGGGGTGCCCCCCCCCCACCCACCCACCACCGTGGATATTAAAACGAGCTGTACATGCTCGGAGTTACACAGGAATAAACTTGCGAGACCATTTCCACGATGGGAGAATCAGATATTTATTTATACTGGAGGAATCCGATGAGCTATAAAGCTCTTTTTCACAGATGTCCAGTAGGGGCGGGTAAGACCGTTACAACAACAAACGATATAAACACGTGATAGGAGTGCAAAGTACAAGAAATGTCAACAAATCACCCAAACACATACAAATAAACCATCCCCCCATCCTTCCAGACAGAGCCCACTGCGGTAGGGACTTATTTTCCAAAGCGACCCGTCCACACAAATAATAGCTCAATAAAGTGGCCTTATCATTTGGACATTTATAGCAGAGGGGATGAACACGTGGATCAGAGAGGCATCACAGGGACTGTGTGAACGTGAGTAGACTCGGGTCGGACACGTCGCTCAAGTGGATGGTGGCAGGTGGTCGAGATTTTTTTAACTAAAACAACAAAAAACACGCCCGAGATGCACGTCTGCCGCGGAGATGGAGCGATGAAAGGGCCTCGTGTGTGCAGGTGGATCGCATCGCGAGACCGTGAAACGTGGTGGTGGGTCACCTGCTTAAGGAGGCCTTCATCCAGCGGTGGACAGACCACGTCTTAATATGGTGACGGTATCAGCAATCGCAACTTTTACCGCTAGCAGTGCGGATAACGTAAAAACACATAGCCACTTGTTTTTTGTTTAAACACATTCACCCATTTCCTCGGTGGAAACGTGTTCAACGTTGCAATTCCCCCCCCCCCCCCCAACAATTTGCCCCAAGGAATCGCATGTGCGATGTAATGTCAGCTGATTATAAAACAAATAATTGGAAAGCCTCGCAAAAAAAACTTGACTCCAAAAATGGGAATGTTCTCATCGGATTAAATTCTTGCAGTGAATCGCTGCTGCCCGCTACCCTAAAAGGTGACGTAACACGTTTGCTGCCCTGCAAATGACCGTGTCCAAAATTAAGTGATGCCAACGCAGGGAGTGGCCAACAACCTTCGGCTCAATCACTGCAGCGGGGTTCAAAATTCATTCTGCGGTGGACTCAACCTATCATCTTTCCGCGGCGGATAAAACGAATACCGTGATCTTCTCATGAATGTGCAGTAAATTCGACACCTGCCCACGAGACTGGGGAATTCCGACCACGTGTGCTTTGCGGTGGAAGATGAACACTGCGTTGGCGTCTTTGGTCATGGTGCACCTAGCCTGGCACAAGTGGCGAACGACGGTTGTTTGTTTGTTTGTTGTTGTTCAGATGCAGAATATTTACACTGGAGGAATCCGATGGGCTATATAAAGCTCTTTTTAACAGATGTCCAGTTTCGATTTAAAGCTTTCGTGACTGCATGGATTCATATTCTTGGTTCTTTCGGTAAAGTCACGTAGAAGGGAAATAATAAAATATTTTTTCTTTTTTTTATATATAAAATGTTATTGTTTTATTTTATCGGTTATTTTTATTATTTTATTATTTCCCTTCTACGTGACTTTACCGAAAGAACCAGGAATAAGGTGTCTAGTTGTTGCACTGTCATGACTTACGCTGCTAACAAAGTCACGGAATCACTCCAAAACTGCTGTCCAAGACGCGACTCTGTCCCTCTATAAATCCGTCTCTTACCGTAATTGCAATAAGACGAGATGCGTAAACAAACTCTATGAGATGCGCGTCTACACCACACTGCACGGTAAGCAACCGCGAACGCGAGATTACATTTCCTAGCTCGCATAGAGAGACGGGGAGGGGGGGAGGGCACTCTCCGCCGTGCGATTGGTCAAACCCGCAGAGCCGCGCGCGCTGATTGGCCGGAGGCGCCCATTTCGAGCTGCGCATCCGCTGTTGGAAATATAACGCGAGGGCGGGGACGATCTCAGGGCGACGGTGACGTGCCCACGGTGAGGAGGTTACCTCCCCCCCCCATTCACCCCGCCCCCGGGATAAGCAACAACAACAACAGAAGCAGCGGCAGCAGCAGCGATGGTGAGCGGACGAACGTGAACATTTTAATGGACACATTTTATATATATATAAAAAAAGCGTTTGCTTGAAAGAACAAAAAAATATATAACATTACGTGGAGCAATGGTAATTGACCGTACAGCCGCGAGTCGACGATGTGTGACGTGTCTCACGTGTGTCGCTGCGTTTCGCTTCTTTGCAGTCTGACTTTTCGGAAGACCAAGTCGCCGGTAAGTGGCTTGGTGATGGGGGCTTTGGTGATGGGGGCTTGGTATTTCCCCGTTATTTTCCCCGTTATTTTCACCGCAGGCACACACGCACAAAATGACACCATTCCTCTTTTTCATTCGCACGGAGTGTCAAAAACATTGAGCATAGCGGGGGGGTGGGGGGCGGTGGTGGTGGTGGGGGGCTCCTGCGAAGCTGCTTTGCGAACTGTCGCTGTTGCGGGGAGCGGTGGCGCAGCGGTTAGCGCAGCGCGCGCTGCGCTACGAAGTCGGATATCATCCGAGTTCGATTCCCGCTCACGGCCACCACCACCGGTGACGATTATCTGAACCGGTCATGGGCCTCCCCTAGATCGACTCAGCCTCAAATTGGTACCTGATTCGGTGTGTTAAGCAGAGCTACTTGGGGAGACAAAGACGGCCGGGCGTGGTGCTGGCCACCCACGCCCTCGTGTGCCACACAGTGCCGGTGGCCTGCGTAGGTGCTGCTACTTGTTTTTTTAATTAAGCCTTTGTTAGAAGTCTGCCCCGGGGTGTGGCCCACAGCATAACTTTCTGGGCCCTTCACATTTATTAAGTGGTTTTTTTTTATTTGATCATGTGTTTTATCATTCCAGATGTGTTCCAATCCATTTTACCCGTATACGTAATTGCATATGCAGAATACCATTAGTAAACATAATGGCGTATGTAAACCGTCGGCAAATATTGAAGGTGTGCCAAACGATGACATAAGAGGCTTGTGTGCTTTTGGGAAACTAAACCGAATAATGAAAAGCAATACAGTATACCAATATGGAATAATCGGTGAATTTATCCATACTTTTTACATGGTCATGAACAAAAAAACCCAACATCTAAAAGTTCCATAATATAGCCTGTAGATGTGCATGCTTGCAATAAAACTGACAGAAAGAGAAACACACGGAGAACAAGAACTCACCTGTTATGGACCGTTTAAAGACAGGTTAAATGGAAATAAAATAACAAAAAATCACGACGTTTCGGCCACAACACAAGCGGCCTTCATCAGGTGAAGGGACGAGACTGTCTGGAGGGCAGCGCTGTCCTCCAGACAGTCTCGTCCCTTCACCTGATGAAGGCCGCTTGTGTTGTGGCCTAAACGTCGTGATTTTTTGTTATTTTATTTTCACCTACGTGACTTTACCCAATAGAACCAAAGAGTATGGATCCTAGCAGTCACGAAAGCTTTAAATCTAGAAAGGTTAAATGGACTTGACATGACGCTTCGCGAGACGGGATGAATACACCGTTAAAAAATAAATAAATTAATGCAAACCGACACACCTGATGACGACCGTTTGTGTTATGGTCGAAACGTCGTGAGAATTTGTATTGTTTCATATATATTTTATTATTTTATTGTTTCCCTTCAACGTGACTTTACCGAAAGAGCTAAGAATATGTGTAAGAGTTGTGCTAAGTAAGGACAAAAAGAGGAAGGTTAGTCATAAAAAGCTGCAGATAGAACCCCATCCTGTCCTAACGCCACGCTCACCACGGTTAATATCGGCAGTCTATTTACCGGACCAATGCAAACCATGAAGAAGAATAGAGGGGAGACGAATATGTGGGAAAAGTCCATGGGAAATGTGCAAGACTGAATGATTGCGTGGGTGTGTGGAAAGTCAACAGAACCATTTGTATGCTGGGAGGCCGTACCTGATTTTTGCATCTCTTAAAGATGAACGCGTTTTCATTTTCACACCCAGTGTGGGCGTTAAACTCTTTTCATATATATAGCTTAATGAAATTCTACGGTAGATGGTTGAAATGTTTGAAAAATAGCAGTGCATTCATTGGCAGAATAATGACGTAATCTGTATTTGACGGTTTTTGGCTAACATTAAAGCGTTATATATGCTTGATAGTACACTATACACGCTGTATAAACTGACTGTCGCTTCAATGCGAGTCAACCGTAAAGTCACGTAGAAGGGAAACAATAAAATAATAAAAATATAAAACAATACAATTTAAAATTTTATTATTTTATTGTTTCCCTTCTACGTGACTTTACCGAAAGAACCAATAATATGAATCCCTGCAGTCACGAAAGCTTTAAATGAAAATTTGAGCATTTAGTGGCTTTGCTTTATTCAGAAAAACACCGGTAAACTTTAGACTTTTTTAACTTTTAATGATGTAGTTTCAGCTTGATTTCTGAAGTAGGATGTTTACATTGCTCTTCCTGTCTGGGCTTGCTTGAAATTAATTTGTTCCAGGCTGGTGCGCACTTGTTATTTTGATAAGATTCCATCTGCAACTACCTGTAAACAATTTTTTTTAACTTGTAGAATAGAGTATTTCACTGTATATATGGGCTTCCGTAAATATACATGCAGAATTTGTGTTTGTTCATATTTGGAAGACGTTAAGGCCATTGGTGCACACAACAGAATTGTCCATGACACATTACTACATTCTCTAATGATAAACGTGTATGTTAAGAATGTATGAATGGGAGCGGAAATGAGTGTTATCTTTATTGGTTACAACCCCACAAACATGGCATTGTGCTTTGTGGACTATTGAAAGCCATAGTATTCTCCAGAATAAGACGTTGCATATTTTCAGTGTCAAATTTATGAAGTTACATTTATTTTCCTAAAATAAAAACTAATTTATTCGGTCAATATGTTCTAAGACTAAAAGCTGTTTTGCTACAAATGTATCATTGTAGAGTAATAAATGTAGAGACAAAACATTTGATGTCGTCTCATCTCATAGTTGATCTTTTGAAAATATCAGGGCTTACACAGTGATGGGGGTGTAATTTTCATGCTGTTCAACAAATGTAAGATTGTGGGTAGCAATATCCATAAAATCAGTCAAATATAGTCTTGTGTTCTCTGAGTGGGTGTACATGCTTCCTGGATAAATCCTAAACTGGACAATGATGCAGGGTGGTGAACTGGGCAGAATCTGCCCCATGACATTTAGATGTTATAATTTTGTCAGTGTACCCTTTAGCCGAATTGGAGATCCATGTCCATGCCAATAAATTATTCATTAGACCCTGATACCGCCACAGGCAAGCATGAATGGTTTACTCAATGCAGACAGGATGCATTCTTTCGTGCGGTTTTTTTAATACAAGTTCCAACCGTTTGTGTTAAAGGAAATGGCAAACTTGGGCCTGCCAGGCCATTTGTTAGCTTAACTAATGCATGTAAATGCAGTTATAACACGAAGCACAATACATTCCACATTACCCACCTTGTTTAATTAGTAAGAGATGTGCTAATTTCTACTTGATTTGATTTTGGGAATTCACTCATTTAATACGCTTGTTCTTTCAAGGGTTTACCATTAGATTTATATCTGTCTGGCAATGTGCATTTGTTTGACTTCCCAATCCACTCCAAAGCTTTCTTTCAACTTAGTTTGCCTTTATCGTTGATGCCCACAAGTCCGAATGGTGGGAAATATGTGTTTATTTAATCTAAAATTACACAATGACTTGCTACAAGAGTAGAATTTGGTTGTCCAAACAGCTGTCTACCCAACTTTAACCGAAAAGGTTTCAGTTATTAATGTGCCCCTTTGGAAGTTTGTTAGGTTTCATGTAATTGCATAATAGAGGTTTTTGGGTTGGATCATGTAAATATATAAATGTGTTTTTAAAACCCGCCACCACCCAGACACTGCCAACTAGTAAGGGTCGTCACGTAAACAGAACATGCCGAAAGTTTGTAAATGTTGTGGCTTGGCTCTCCAACACACCGGTGTGCTGTACTAGTGACGAATTGGCACGTTCTGTTTACATGACAACCCTTACTAGTTCGCTGTGTCGGGTGGTGGCGGGTTTTAACGACACATTATATATTTACGTGATCCAACCCAAACACCTATTATGGATGATATTGGTCGTGAAAGCCTACGTGTTAAACCTTCATGTAATTAGTTATGTATGTATTTATGTTGAACTTCTTTCACACCTTATGTAGCCAACCATGCTAATCGGTTATGTATGCTCGTATATAGTGAACCACTTAATACTAAAACAGGAGACAATGGAAACAGTTTATTAAAAAAGTGTTACACAAGCATTCACCACAAGTAGGTGTGGTTGAAGCAGACATGATTCCATACAAAAGTTTATATTTGGTGTATGAACGTCTTATCACCGGTTTCATTGCCGGAAAGGGTAAAACCTATTCTTATTTAAAAATATTTTTTTCGCAAGCATTACATCAAAGCTTACAAGCTTGGTTGAATCCTATAAAACATGTTGTTTACTCTACATTATTTATATAAAATCATAATTTACATCCTGGTAGTAGTGATTAAATAATTTGATGAATTCATATAGCCAATGCAGAGCAACTATTCGATTTTTCAATCAATTTATGTATTCAAAGTATTTTTTGAATATCTCTTTGAGATTGCCATACTTCATTTCTTAGAATGGATCAAAATCACCAAATAAATTGTATAATATGTGCATCCTTTTCACAATCAACTACTCAAGGCGTCCCCATGCCCTTACAGCCATACATGACCACGCTGGTCAGAGAAGGTTGGTAAAGAAACACTCTTTGGTTCTTTCAGTAAAGTCATGTAGAAAATCAAATAGTAATAGAATAAGACGTTTCGGTTGCAACACAAGCAGCCATCATCAGGTAAGAATGAATGATAAAACACAGACACGGAAACAACATAGGCAGACACACATGCAGACACACACCAAGGGAGACACACACCAAGACAAACGTTGCATTCTATTATTTTATTTTCTACATGACTTTACCAAAATAACCAAAGAGTAATTCCTGCAGTCACGAAAGCTTCAAATCCAGGTAAAGAAACAGTTCAGATATGGCAGAATCAGTCCTCCAATATGACAATATCAAAACACACGTGGTACCTAAGAATGTCAGAGGTCATTGGACAGTTAGGTTGGACTGTGTTGCCAAATGTGCCTTACAATCCAGACTTGGCACTGTCACATTTTTATATCTTCAGTCTTTTTAAAGAGTCCTATTTGGGCAATGTTTCGAAGCAGAAAAAAACTGATATACAGGGACTAGGTTGTTGGGGGGCGCCTGCATCGCGCTCCAACAACCTAGTATTCATCATAGAAAGATAAAGTTGTGCATTTACCAACGTAATGGAACATCTGTCCCTGCTACTTGTTGATTGTGATAGCATATGCGGGGAGAATGAGAAATTGTCGTCGTCACAAAACAAATGGCAAAGTCGTGTCGGTGGGGGCCAAGTCGATTCTGGGAATCAACACCAAATCGCCTCGTTCTTTCTCAAGCGTTCATCATATTCATCATAGCCATAGAGAAAGTTGTTTATATATAAATATCATTTTACATCTGGAAGACTTAATTGAAAACGACATTTCGTGTGAATTTTCTCTCGTCGTGAAGTAGATGTCCTTGCTGGTTGTTCGGTTCGATGCGGGCTTTAACTTGTTTGGGATTGCGGGATCGAGATAAGGGGCCGCACATAAATGACGTCACGCACCTGGGGGGGGGGGGGTTCAGACATTTGTGACTATGTGTGACGAGGGGTGGGGGTTTGAGAAATGTGACGTCACATCAAAATGCGCAACTTTAAATATAGACAACGCGTTCTACTTAATTAAATATACTTTTTAATAAATGTTTTCTCCTACAACATCAGAGTGCAGTGCCACATTAAATACGCACTACAATGACAATAGTTTAAAGCGATTTGAAGCATGTTTTATTTTCAAAATGGAAATATCGTTTTGGGGGGGGGGGCGTGCAGAGCTTTGTGACGTCATATTTGGGGGGGGGGGTCTGACTTTTGTGACGCCGTGTGACGAGGGGGGGGGGTCAAAAATCCCGTGACGTCATTTATGGACGGCCCCTAAGGCGACATAGAGCTTGCCGTGCGAGAAGACCGCAGTCTGCAGATCGATTCCAACGTAATCGAACGTCTGTCCCTGCGCCTCCGTCGTTCATGCAGGGGGCGCGTAGAGGTTTACAGCACCCCCGGCATGAAAACGACTGAAAGTGCAGCGTTTATCATATTCATCACAGATAAAGTTGGGCGTTTGTATGATGTTTGGAAATAGTTACATGATCCTGATTAATCCATGATGGAATGCCAGCCCTGGTTTCACATTGGCATATGTGAGTAGAAAAGGATGGACACCTTGAAAAATAGGCAAATGTTAATAATATGCCCGTGAATTAATACCAAATATGTTTTATTTCATTAAATGTAAGAGGGAAAAATTTGCCATTTTGTGTACCCCTTGTCTTTAAAGAGTGTAACCAGTGTTCTCTGTTTTACATGTTGGAATATGTTTTGTGTGCACTCCCAGACTTCAAAGAGGCATTCTCACTCTTTGACCGGACTGGAGAAATGAAGATCTCTTACAGCCAGTGTGGGGAGGTAATGAGAGCCCTTGGCCAAAACCCCACCAATGCAGAGGTGCTCAAATTGCTGGGCAACCCTAAGCCTGCAGGTACAATGCACAATGCGCCACATTCTGTGATCCTCATACCACTACACCACGTTTTATTTTCTCTATTCCTCATCGCTATTGCTTGACAAATTGTAGGAACTGCAATTGTTTAAACTTCTTTGAAGTATATTATACTCAGAGTATGTTGTTTCCTCCAAGCGTTGAGATGAGTATCAGGAGTTTCAATGTCATTAGGGCTGTCGGTAATGCATTATTTATGAGATTTGCATTCGGAACGGGTTGGTTATTAGGCTCTTAGGATTCGTTGCGTTTTCTGTAGGTTAGTTGCCAGCCATCTCATTGCACAAAATCACAAACTTTACATTAAATACATGTTACCATCCAAGTAGTAATGTAATCAGGTTACCAATGCAATTTTGTTATTTAGACTTGGTCAAGCAAGTTAAAAATAAACGTGCAATCCTTGCATATAGAAAGACATTATTAGAAAATCTATACTCTTGGCCTAAAAGCATTTACAAAATGATTTTAGTCCAAGAGTGGAAAGCCGTAGGACATTGACTTGGTTCCCAGCAAATTCACGATTAATGTCATTCTGTCTGGTTGTTAATGGCATCAAAGGTCCCACCATGACGCTGTTAAAAAGTGTCCCGAAACCGACCCTACAATAATGAATATTTTACGCAGCCACATGCATGTACCCTGTAGACTTTTATACTGGACATATGTGAAAAAGAGCTTCACAGTTCATTGGATTCTTCCAGTCTAAATAAATCAAGATTCTGAGTGATATATATGAATGGGAAAACCCGGAACATTAGGCATACTGCAATTTTTTGTGCAAAATCTATCAATCTTAATAACGTTTTAAGTTAGTTTATTTGTATTTACCCATATTCCGAAGATTCGTGTTTACTGTATGCATTAAAATAAAATACTGCCGTAAATATTTTTTTAGTAAAATAGTGAAGATAACTTTGTCACTGTCTTCATCTGCCTTACCTTTGTTTTTTTAATTAGCAAAGAAATCTCTAGGAAATGTAATTTTGTTGGTATTTGTGTTCGGACTCTACAGAAATGAATGTGAAGATGCTGGAGTTTGAGCAATTTCTACCCATGCTGCAGACTGTCTCAAAGTCCAAAGACCAAGGCACATTTGAGGATTTTGTGGAGGGTCTGCGAGTGTTTGACAAGGAGGGCAATGGCACCGTGATGGGAGCTGAATTGCGTCATGTGCTTTGCACACTCGGTGATTACTCTTGGACAGTGGTCACGATGATCATCAGCTTTTTAAAATTATGATTTCAGTCGGCGAGCCTTGTGTTGTTTATGAAGCAAAGTGAGCCGTAGAGTGAAAAAAATATTGAATCATGGACTTTTTGTATTCACTTTACATATACTCTGCATACTAGCATTATTCAAACCATATATTTTCATTGCCAGTATTGTTATGCGTATACAATTGTAGTCAAGTGTCATGTCAGTAAACGTAATTTCAGTTGGCAATCGGTAAAGCACCGGTCAAAGGAATTAATGTGGACAAGGATTTCCTAAATAATGTACAATGAGCAGTACTCTCACGATGTGTGATTTTTTGTATCTATCACGGATTTTAAACAGTTTTTTGACCCCTGAAGGTTGAAATATTTTCTTTGCCAATATGGCATGTATTAACGTGCAATGTTTTTACATAACAATCTCGTTGGATGGCTTTCCCTAGCTTGAATACTGTATCAACTTGTTTTCTTTTCTTCTAGTGCCTGTATTTTTTGGGAATATTTTAAATGTGACTAAAAATATATGCATTGCTTTTAAATTTGTGTCCAATCCACTATTGGATAAAGGCCTCCCCAAATGTCAGGGCTGTAAAAAAATATTATTTTTGATTTGATTCAAATGTTTTTGGTGATATACAACCTTTAAATAAACATACGCGTTAATGTCGATGCAGACATTGGAATTGACTATACCAGGGACTGAGTCAGGCTTGTTGGCTTGCTGGATGTGGTGTGCTGGAGCTGTTTGTTGACCATGCCATTGTGCATATTGTGCAGGGGAGAGGATGTCAGAGGAAGAGGTGGAGCTGCTGTTGGTTGGGCAAGAGGATACCAATGGCCTTATCAATTATGAAGGTAATGCCACCAGGTGTTTATGACTACTGAGAGTGGAACATTTTACCCTTCGATGATCTCCCATGATTTCAGGAATTCACAGTGCTCATTTGTCACCAGCAGAGGTCAGGCAAGTGCACCATTCTTGTATTTTAATTCTCCATTGCCCACATCTGGATTGAAAATATCAAGAAATGTAACAGCCGCAGCCGCGACATGTCTTTGCTTAACTGATGGAGTTATGTAAGTTACAGTGTGCCATTTTGGTTTCATTGTCAGTCCCAGGAGATTTTGCAGTGACTTGCGTAGGCAATAGAGGACATCATTCAAGTGAAAGGAGGTTGCAAATGAAACTTTCTGCAAAACGGTGATAGTATGTGGTCTAATCAAACCAGGTTACTCTTGAAAACGAGACACCTGGTCTTCAAGTTCTCACCTAATTAAACAAACCTTATTTGAACTAGCCTTTTGCCCGTCCAAGGACGTGTGTATTGCAGTAAATCTGAAACTTGCAAGCGATTAAGCAGACAGCGATGTGATATTCATTGCATCAATTCGTGTGCAATTTGTAATGGCGCGGTAATCCCTTGTTCATAATGACGTACTTTTTTACTTCTATGTCTCAATAGTGTTACGGAGATCGCGTGACATGAGGGTTCTGCCTTTGTAGTGAGGGTTGTAAGTTGACGCCACCTAGGGGGGAGGAGGCGCCTTGGCTCCCCATGTGGAGTGACGTCAGCCGCTAATTATGAATGGGGGGGGGGGGGTTGTAGGACGTCACCTTATAATGATTTTTAATGAGGGGGGCTGTTCGATGTGAAGTAACGTCACCTGCTCATGATTATTAATGAGGGGGGTGAGGGCAGTTGAAACCTATCTACGTGACTTTACCGAAAGACCCAAAGAATATTAATTCCTGCAGTCACGAAAGCTTTAAGTCAACATCTGTTCATGACTATTAATGAGGGGGGCTGTTCGATGTTGAGTGACGTCACCTGCTCATGAATATGAATGAGGGGGGGCTGGTCGATGTGGAGTGACATCACGAGCGTTAAGGACATTCCTGGGTGATTATTAAAGTAGGTATTCTTCAGCCACGACTGGTGGTACTATGGCCACCTGGTAAACGGTGGGATTTTTGTTCTCAACCAACTTCATTTTTTTATTCATAATAAAGGTTTTTGGGTTAGATCGCGTTTATTTATAAATGTGTCGTAACCCTCCACCACCCGACACGGCCAATCAGCAAAAAAAGTGTCACGTTGACAAAAGACAAATAATTCACTACTTTAGCCCACCGGTGTGTTGAAGAGTGAATCCACATTTACAGTTTGAGTACTCCACCACCCGACACGGCCAGTCAGCAAAAAAAGTGTCACGTTGACAAAAGACAAATAATTCACTACTTTAGCCCGCCGGTGTGTTGAAGAGTGAATCCACATTTACAGTTTGAGTATGACGTTTCGCTGGTAAATACATCCAGCATCATCGAGCTTTCGTGACTGCAGGGATTCATATTCTTGGTTCTTTCGGTAAAGTCACGTAGAAGGGAAACAATAAAATAAGAAAAATATAAAAAATAAAAATTATCACGACGTTTCGACTGCAACACAAGCAATCATCATCAGGTGTGAAAACCACAGCAAGAAAATTTGAAAAAAGTGGCGTTTTTTTTACGTTAGCACCACGGAGCGCGATTTGGCAGTTATTCAGATGGACGAGTCCATCTATGTTCGGAAAAGAGGAGGAGGGAGACGAAAATAATGGATGCGGTCTGAAAGCCACCGTAAGCGTGAACAATCAATTAAAACCCGAAATGGTTTATCAAATCCTTCCAATCATTGCTAAGCCAGAATCCATCTTCTCGGTTGAAATTGTCTCTGTCTTTGTATATGTGGATAGCCTCATGAACGAATCTCTCATGGTAGCCAGATGGCTTGCAAATAACCTCTGACTACACAATCCGCAAAGTTATCACTCCAACCATGAAGAAGGACCCTCTTGAGGAGCCTTTCAAAACCATCACTTTACCCTACATTGCAGGGATCACAAAAAAGATCTCCAAAATCTTGAATAAACACAAGATCCAGGTCCGATTCAACACCTTACATAAAATCCGTGATTTGGTTCTGTCTGTAAAAGATGTGATTCCGGACATACAGTACCATGGCGTCAACAAACTAAGTTGCCTCTGTGGTAGTAGTTACATTGGAGAAACCAAACGACATGTCTCGGACCGCATTCGTGAACACAAAGCAGACCTAAAACACGGTAGGACCAACACCTCGGCCGTGGCAGATCACTGTTATAATTCAGTAGGCTCACATGACATTGACTTCTCCAAGACAGAGGTTCTTTGCAAGCCATCTGACTACCATGAGAGATTCGTTCATGAGGCTATCCACATATACAAACATGGAGACAATTTCAACCGAGAAGATGGATTCTGGCTTAGCAATCATTGGAATGATTTTATAAACTTTTTCGAGTCTTAATTGATTGCTCACGCTTACAGTGGCTTTCAGACCGCATCCATTATTTTCGTCTCCCCCCTCCTCTTTTCCGAACATAGATGGACTTGTCCTTCTGAATAACTGCCAAATCGCTCTCCGTGGTGCTAATGTTAAAAAAACCACCACTTTTTTCAAATTTTCTTGCTGTGGTTTTTACACCTGATGGTGATTGCTTGTGTTGCAGCCGAAACGTCGTGATAATTTTATTGTTTTATATTTTCATTATTTTATTGTTTCCATTCTACGTGACTTTACCAAAAGAACCAAGAATACAACTTAATTTTGTGAAAAACTTCACTTTTTCTCATATGAAAATTATATGCTTATTTTACACTGAGGCTAATGGAGAGAACGAATCCAAAATAATACAAACAAGATGGACAAAAGACTTGAAGCAATACAAGCAAGGCTGTTTAATAAGGCCAAAAAGTGTCATTGCATTGCAACCTTGGAATTTCTGCAACGGTGAATTGTTATTATACCATTCGGTTTTAGTGTCACACTTTATATATATTAAAAAAAACAATGTTGAGTAATTGGTTTTATATCATATTTGCATTTAGAAATCTTGTAGCGATGGAAACATAAACTTTCATAAGTTTCAAAGCAAAACATTCAAACATGTGTAGTGACTTGTAGGATCAATACTGTGTATACACGCACACGTGTGATGTCACTATGCGGGGGAGCGTCACTATTACGCGGGTCTACACACACACATGACGTCATCCCGGCTGGAGGCGGGAATGACGTCAGGGCTGTTCTGGACTCGGGAGGCCACGGGGGTGGTGTGAGGTCGTGGCACTCTCTGTGATCCCGGCTGGACACGTGACCGGATCCCAGTGGGGGCCGGGGGCCCAGGGGGCACCTCGGGGGGCACGTGGACAGCAGGGAGGCTTCGAGAGGGTTCTCGAAGGGAGGTGTGGCCGGGGCGGAGTCCGCGCACGCCGAGGCCCATATAAGCAGCCTCCTCACGAGGTTCGAGGCTGCCCGTATCAAGAATGAAGATGCATCGTGAAGATGCCAAGAAGAGTCGAGCCTCCAGTCAGCGGACCTGCCAGTAGCCCACCTGGCTGGGTCACGCTAGAGTATCTGAGAGTTAGAGAAGTGTGTGTTAGCTGGAGTAGGTCGGTGGTCACCACCCTATGCATAATGTAAGAGTTAACGGTTGTGTTCAATAATAAATAGTGTTGCCTCCCAAAAAGTCGTGTGCGCCTAAATTCGAACTTATTACATTTGGTGTTAGAAGTGGCTAACGTTAGGTGTTATCCTAGTCAGTATAATATGCGCACGATTACTACAACTTCCCTGGACGCTTTCACACGATGGGGACGGCGGGAAGATCATCTTCCGGGCAGCCCCGGGGTCTGCAGCCCCGGTGAAGGAGGAAGATGGCGCTGCAGACGGGGCAGCGGGACGCACATCACGTCACTACTTCGCCACCATCGAGAGAGAGAGAGCGCCGGAGCTGGAGGGGTGAGGACGCCGCCGCTGCTGCGGCCGCCAAGATGGCGGCCGGTCGGGACGCGGTTCCCGCCAAAACGCCGTTCCTGCCATTTTCAACACCTGCGGAGGGAGATCTTCGGCCATCTTGGTGGCACCCTGTCGCAAGAGGATGCCATGCTTACCATCCAAGATTCTTCAAGTTCCACCCTGCCATCCTTCGTGCCTCACAGCCTCTAAGGCGAGTCGTGGCACAATGCACCTGGCCATAAAACACACCTCACCCATCTTGCGTACGCCAGGTTGCGTTTGCGTGGTTTTTTTGCTCGCTGGGCTGCGGTACGTGTTTTTCTGGCTGTGTGAGTGTAGGATGAACGCGGCGTCCGTGCTCGTGTTGTGCTGTGGCATTTTTTTGTGTGCGGTGACGGCGTTGGGATCGTTATCTTGATGGGGCAGTTAATGATTAATTCGGTTGTGTCGAGTGTCCCGAGGCCCTGTTATTGGCTCGCAGCGTGACATTGGGTTTTTTTCAGATCTAGATTTTTTGTTGTTGTTGTGATTGCGATGTGCCACTTTTCTTAACGATGTGTTGATTGTATGGGGCTTTTGTCGCAATCGCGATGTGCGGACTGTACGTACTACATAGTCTGTCTCTCTGCACGGATATGGGTTGTGAGGTACATTGTTGTGATCCTTGGTATGGATCGTTAAATTGTGATGGTGACATGTGGTGCCAGTGATTTGGATTGTGCTGCTGGCTGTGGCTTGTCTGGGGCAAAGATCCTGACCAGAATGTCCCTGTCATGGTTGCGTGTTGACACGAGTGTGGTTCCGTCATGCTATAGCTGATGGTTTGACCTGACAGCCCGGAGATTGAGACACTCCGTGGCGTGTCTAACCTAGTGGGCTGTGCGCTCACATGGCTCGGAGAGTTGTGGTCCCATCATGCTGTGGTTGGCGGCTTGACCTGATGGCCCGGAGATCGTGACACTCCAAGGCGCATCTGAGAAAGTGAGCCAGAGGCTCAGGGAGCTTATGGTGAGTTGCTCTTGAGTTGGGTGCTGA